ATGCCAAGTTCCGAGAGCTAGATAAATCACAAATTGAAGTCCATGGAATTGCTTCATTTGGATGTGATTTGACAAAATTATTAAGTCTGTCCCTCACGTTCTGAAGGTGCTCCTCCAAAGTGATATATGCAGAATTTAAATTGGGAAGTATCAGCTCTGTTTGCTCACTAGGATTTCGTTCATTATCACCAGAATCTAAAATCATGGAGCGAGCATTAGCATTTTCTTCAGCCAATAAGGATTCTGAATCTCCACATCTCCCTGGCCCATCTACCTCAATACACCGAACTTCTTTGCATACATCCTCAGAGTCCTCATTACTTTCTTGAGCAGTCTCATCTTCTGCACGATGTGGGATTGATTCAATAAGCATACGGCTGCTAAATGAGTCCCACAGTGAGCCAATACTCAGTTCTTGGTTTTGGTTTTGGATTTTAGCATGTCTTCCATATGATGCAATCTTTGGATAAGGAATGGATGACCCAGAAGTCGGATTTACAACTTCAGACCGTTCATATAAGTCAGACGTTGAGATTTGGCTGGATTCCTCCTAAAAGGAGAAAAAAATTGAAAATGGCAGAAGTCAGAGATTAAAAAATAGTTATTTTAGAGATCATTAAAAAAATGTCTAGAAATGAATTGATACCTGCTGAGTTGAAGGGCGACCACTCCCCACAACTCGAAGTAAATCCTCTACCCGACTTTCTGCTAAATCTCGTTGCTGCCTCAGCTCCTTTATCTCCTTTTCCATCTGCCACGAAACATTTGGTCCGTTACTCTTTACTCATCTGTCCATGCTTTAGTCATACCGATGCATGCATACAAATTCAAATACAAATACACTGAAAAATAATTTTACATGTTATGGTGAAAAGGATTGGAATACATATACTGAACATGAAGCAATACTAATTTACATGCATATGTGCAAACATGAAAGCAAGGTTTTTCCAATGAAGACAAACTGCCGCTGTGGAGAAGATAACCTGTTTAATCCGAGCGTCTTTCTCCCTAAGCAATGCTTCCAACTGAGATGTAGTAGAGCTCGATCGAGGATATTTCAGTTCACCCTCCAGTCTTGCGAGTTCCTTCTGCAAATGCTTAACCAGAGCTTTATCAGACATGACTACATTGACACGAGCACTGGTTTCCACTTCTTTTGCACAACTTGCAAATAAAAGAGTATTCCTCGATTGCTCAATATGACTTCTTGCAGGGCTCATAGTGCATATAATGGCAGTTCTAGCATTGCCTCCTAAAGAAGGTTGTAGTATGCGTGTCAACTTTGAATCTCGGTAAGGGATGTGCCCATTCCTTCCTTTACTGTAATGAAAAGTAAAACAAACTAATAAAACAAAATAGCATGAAAATTCAAAGCAGCTGTGTAACTGAACTCTAAGATGGTGAAATTGAATATGTTCTAATTTAAATGACGCGACCTGAAGTCTAAGGTAGTCAGTACGCAGAACAAGAAAGAGGAGAAAGGGAGATCAAATAAGACCTAAAACAAGCAAGAAATAAAGAAGGGATGACATTCTTGGGTTGAACTTCTGAAAAGCTGAAAGTTACATCTCTATTAGAATGAGTTCACAGGAAGTTTAGCCTATATCTGCAGGATAAAACTTGTTGATCATATTTATGCATGACAAAGAACACAAAAGAAAAAAAAGTGTGAATAATAGCTAGACAAAAGAAATATGCTTTCACTTGTGATAACACTAATAATATGCTTCACAAAGTTCTAGTAACATATACTTTTAAGGTGAGCTCCTATGTATATGATAGAAAACTGACAATCTGAGGTCATCTAGAGTCAATGGAGAGGGACTTTCATGAGTAGGAGCAGGGAAAAAAGGGGACACCAAAGGATAGACAATGTGAGTACATCAGCGTCTGAACAAATGCACCAGTAATACCACCAAATCACATTCATCTGAGGATAAAAGAGCCTGAGAGATGACATGCTAAGGAAATGCCTTCTTTTAAATTGCAAAGAAATGTCAGCCTGTGATGGTGACAGCTCAAAAAGAGCGTATAGATTTTAACAACCTTAGCTTGCGAATTACAGTTCCGAGTGAAAGTAAACTCCTATTTATATGGCAGCCTTCTTTGAGTCTATTTCCAACCGATAGTGCCTGAGATGCACGTTCACTTCCCGCCAGATCTACAAAATTCTGTACCCGATAATGAAGTCAATCTCTTATAAATAACTGCTCCTCGAATAAAAGAACTGACAGAAGATCGATTTACATACCACACTTGCTGCAAGTGTGCTTGAGCTGCCCTTTCCCAAAAACTCACGAGCAGAACTTTCAATAGTCTGCAAGTTAACAAGAATAAAAATTAAAATAAATGAGGGGCTTCTTTTTAATTTTGCCTCATGAATATTTCTTTTAGCCATTCATCATATAAGGTAAAAAAACAAACCAATCTGAGTATCTGATGAGATCTTGAGCTCATCTCATTTAGCAAGGTTTCTCCTATCTGCCTTTGAGCTGCAAGATACACAAGGTAGTTCAGAAAATTGCAATCAGATAGTAAAGGAGACGGTATTATACAGCATTCTTCTTCACACCTGCACACACAGCGAGGAGTTCCTTTAGATGGTTACAGTCCCTCAACAATACCTCTGTAAGTTTCTCAACGATTGTTCCTCTCTGCCACATCAAAAGGTTAGACAAGGGGAAAAAAAGAATAGACTAGAAACTACTGGATGTACCTCTGGGTCATCAAGAACCCTAAGAGGAGAGTTGTCCATGCTAAGGAGATCCCTCACGGCTTCATTATAAATCTCAATTGCTGAAAACTTCAAAGTAAACTCCCTCTCCTCATGCTGAAAGAGTATTAGAGCACATTTACATGAAAAAGAACTTGAGAAAAATTAGGAAATGAAATAGCACAAAATTTTCTAAGTGGGGGCATTATTTACAAAAGTTTAGATTACCCTCTTGATGTAATCATATATATCTCCTACTGTATACTCGGTTATTCCAGTCATCGTGTACGTTTTTCCGCTGCTTGTTTGTCCATATGCAAAAATAGTTGCTGCAAAGAGTTATCATCAAACGATTAGGTTTTGTGGTCTGCCTCTGTGTGTGCGTGTTTGTGCCAGAGACAAAGAAGAGTACTTACAGTTGATGCCACTGACAACTGAAAGTGCAACCTCCTTGGCTCCCTCCTCATACACTTCTTTTGTGGTGTTCTCACCCCGAAATACTTTGTCTGTCATCCAAGAAAGGAATAAAACATGATTACAAAGCAAATCAAGAAAAACTAAGAAATTTTATCCACAGAGAGAAATTTCTCAAAATAAAGAATACCCACAACTTCTATGGGATGTGGAAAGAAAGCACAGGTAGAAGAAAAAGATCGGTTGACAAATACTCACACAACACCAAATAAGATAAAGCATATAGCACATATACACCGCACCAATACAAGTTTCTAAAAAAAGATTTTAAAAGCATAACGATCACCCAGCCGCATTGCAAGAGAAACTCTTGTGTTTTCAAATCAAATCGATCGAGAAGCTAAATTACCAAAAAGGAACTTATTATAGCTGCATTAGCTACTTGATAGCCATTGGTGACGGCGAAAACGGCCGCCGCGCCGCGACCACCGCGGCGCGCCCCCGACTTAAATAAAGATTCGCTAGACAAAATGAAGCCATCGGAGCAGAGCCGGCGCCGCCAACCGCCGCCGCGCGTTCTCACAAGCAGCCCGCGGCCGCCCCCCGCGGTCCCGCCCCGCCTCCCGGCGCTGCCGGCCCGCGCAGCGACTCCTTCTACTACTGCAATATATAGTGTAATATATGAATATATATTAATATAAATTTTTATAAATACATGACCTAATGAAACGATTACTCAGACGAGACTCAAAATGATGCAAGAAATGAACATGCAGCAGCAGAATCCCACAATGACACCTTTTAAATTTAACAAAAACAACAACAAGAAGAACGGGGCATCACCAAAAGTGTAGGCGGTGCAGCATTGGATCTCTCGCAGGCTGTGGCTAACAAATTGATGGTGGTGTCGTTATTGCACTCCCAGTCGGCCGGATCGCTGGCGGAGATCTCTTGGCATAGAGGCCTCAGCCCGCAGACACCAGTATCCTTCTCCGCGGAGCCTCCCTTCCAGGTTGCGCGCCGCCGCCCCCGCTCCATCTTCTCCTCCACGCCGATTCAACTCATCTCCGCCGATCGCCCCCATTTCACAACCTTATTATCTCAAATCGGCCCTAAAAGAGACACGATGCATAGTTAATACCTTAAACTTTTGCGGGTTAATTAAGGGTCATAAAGGCCGAATCTTTTTTTTAATTTTTTTTTTCTCCCCCATTTAGTTGGGTGACGGCGACGGCAATGGAGGGGGTGTTGCTTGCAGAAGCAGACATGGGGTCGGTTATCATAGCATCGGTTCGGGCGTCATTTTCCCCCCCTGCTATCTTAGAAAACAGCGGCACGAAGCGAGATAATCCATTTAGGGCTAGAAATTTAGGGTTAGGTGAGGGATCTCTTTGCTCCTTTTTTTTTTTTTTTTTTGCTGACATTGCTGGCCGCTTAAGTCAGAGTCTTGCCCGAACAAGAAGGCGTCATCTCTCTCTCTCTCTCTCTCTCTCTCTCTCTAGATCTTAAAAAAGGGATAAATAAATTTACATTTATTGAAGTGGAAATAAACAGACACGAGAGAGAGAGAGAGAGAGAGAGAAAGAGATAAAATTAATTTAATTTGGAAACTTTCCGTTGGACTGATATGTTATGCTGAGTCGTCGATCTCCATGTGACGCGGTGAGAATCTTTAGTGGCCGTTTAAACTTGCGTTTGAAGTAACCAAAGCGTTTTTATTTCAGGAGGAATTGCATGCCGGTCTCTTAAATCGTGTCTAATTACCGCATAGCCCTTCACATCTCATTGTTTGCTTATTAGTCCCTTAGATCCTCAGTTTCCTTGCCATATGGACCTTGTATCGGAAAAACTGTTAACGCCTCTAACTCTAGTTGAGCTAATGCTTAACCCAGCAACTCCGGTTACCTTATTGCCCTTGGTGTATGCATTTCCCTCCCAAGTTCTGGGGTTAGGGAGGAGTTAACCATGGGAATGATCTCAATTTTGGGTTTGGGAAAGAAATGGTGCCATTAGAGAAGAAAGAAAGTGGGTTTGAGCGAGTGTAGGTGTGGGTATAATGGGTATTCTACCTGACTCCGTCACATTTAACGACCATTAATAACACCACCTAATTCAATGCACGGATTGGCGAGAAAACTGAAGGTTCAAGGGACTAATAAGTAATGAGATTTGAGAGACTATTTGGCTATTAAAGATAATGCAAGGGACCAATAGGCAATTAGCCCTTTACTTTATTTCTAGTAATTGTAATTAAATTTCCTTTATTATTATGGATGGGTTGAGTAAAGGAAGCAATATTGTGACGGGGCAAACTGTCGGCAGTTTGTTTCCATGACTACAGAAAAAATAAAACAAATAGATATTTATTGTTACTTTTATTTAATTTAATATTAAATCAGATTTATTAATGACAGGTTTTCGGGAGGAAACAGTCACCGCCGGCCATTAAGCAAGGCACCGTCCTCCCTCTGCATACAATTTGTAAGCATATATACATAATGGGATCGGGTATGAAGGAGATTTTATTTTATTTTTTATTTTTTGGCATAAAAACATGAAGGAGAATTTTAGGGTATTGTAGTGCTTTTGAGATAATATTATTATTATTATTTGTTGAAGGAGATTGTTCTTTTGTTGTTGGCTTGTGTATGATCAGCTAGGAGCAAATCATTAGTTAGGTAGGTCATCAGAGAGCTTTATTAATGTTTAAGAAATATTTGGTAGGTCTATAACTTCATTTTTTTTAGCATTTCTATGATCCTATCCTATTATTGAGTATTAATTAATTAACTAGGACTCCATCAGAAAGAATTAGTAGTTGGGAGACAGCTTGAGTCAAACGAACTAAGTGGTTGGACGAGAGTATCTTATTTTTGAGCTTTGGCAGGGTTAATTGGTCAGCACATTCTTTATGAAGTTTTCTTTTCGTTTATATTCCCCCCTTCTCCTTAAAAAATAAGTACATCATATCTGTTGTATTTTAAATGATTTCTTCAGGCACCTACTAAAAATGAATCATTAGTTTTCTTTTCTATTGTTTATGTATATGTTTACTATTTTGATTGACGAAGAAACTCAATACGCAACAATAGGCTCAAGCCTCTTCTTTCCTCTCGTGTGGATAACTCCTAATATGCTTTTCAAGCAGGTAAATCTATATCAGATTCCATTGTTCTTGGTCATGAAATAATTCATAGTTGTTTCTTAAAGAAAATTGAAGCCTGTATCATTAAAAATTGATTCATGAAAGTTGTTGACGGTGTCAGTTGGAATTTCATCATGTTGATGTCAGCTATCAAACATGAGGATTAACAGGTAATCCAAAGTTTGCCAAGGGGTCTTAAGGTCAATATGAGTGATGCGGGTTCCTTCATCTCTTTTTGAATACTGGTCCCATGTCCGTATAAGAGAGCTGCACAATAACACTCGTTAGAGGACCGAAGTTGAGTTCTCTGGTGGTTCCTCTAACGATCAAGTCAATATTTGAGCTTGAGTGAAGAAGATACTAACGAACTGAAAATAGTTCTAAATATGCAGAAGTTGCATACATGTGGCTCCCCTAGGGTCTTCCTCCCCCTCCTGCTAGTAAGCAATGAGCCCATATATATATTCAGCTGAGAGGGGTAAATATGTAATTGTTGCTGAGTCCAAATAGACAGCCGACTCGGTAGACAACTGATAGGTGTTAGCTGTGAGTGGCATGGGTCATCCAGGTGGCTAGTGCCAAGCGACAGCAGCTGCTTGGTGCTGATGGAGCATGATAAGTCATAAAGATTTTGGGGACTAGAGAAATGATGACTTTGTTAGAGCAGTTAATGCAAGGGCAGACGGCTGTCGGCGCTGTTCGAGAAAACTACCACATCTTCAGTCATCCGGCTAATTACCGACAACACCTCCTTTTTAGTTGGTTATGCAAGTTGTTAGCTGATATAGCGAGCCGAGTGTGAAGTTGTTGGATATTTTTTGAAAAAGTCAAATTGACTTAATCTAATCCTCTTAAATCTCCAACTAACCCCATATTTCTCCTTAACCCTCTCCACTATCCGTTCTCTTTCTCTCCCTATATAAACTCTCTCAATCATCTCATAATGAGATATTCACTTTCTCTACCTACTCTCTCTCCTCTCATCTCACGGTAAAGAAAGAAAAAAAAGAAAATAGTGGAGTGAAAATTAAAATAATAGAGAGATAATTCTCACGGGTTTTCTGCTACTATACTTAAGTGTTATTATTATTTTGGGCAACCTTCTTTATCTGAGCAGAAGCTCTGTGCTCTCGCCCGAGTACGGAGGCCGGCCGTTTCCGGGGGCTTTTACCGCTAGGGGGAAAAGGATCGACTGCGTCAGGACGATAGGCGGGTCCTCTATCTTCTAGGACAGTGAATCACGACTGCACCCGTTCAGGCCTGGTGTTCTAACTCTTTTAATTTCAGATTTAATCTAATTTATTCTCTTTTTTGACAGCAATCTAGAAGATAGATTTATTTTATTGCTGTTAATTTAAATCTGAAATTAATTGCTTTTATTTAGTACATTTTTCTATGTTAATTCTGTGTTAATGTGAGAAAAAAATATATAAAATTACTGTTCATCAGGTTCGGTTTACTGTTCACCCGAACCTGTCTCTGTTTTGCTTCTATTCCTTTTATAATTAAAAAAAATTTGATTCCCTGCTGATTAATTGTTAAGTAATTGCTTCATTTGTTTATACATTAATTAATTGCTTTAATTTGTTTCAATATAAAAATTAAAATTAAAATCGGATACTGTTCATCAGAAAAAAAGTCCCTTTCCTGTTTACTAGATTAGTTCATTAATCTGTTGTTGTTTAAAACTCAGAAAATCAGTTTTATTAAAAAAACGTTATTGTTCCCTGTAAACAAGTTTGTTACTGTTTTTTTCATTCAAATAGTTACTACAAATATTCATTTGTTCATTAATTAGTTGCTGTTAAAAAAAAAGAGGTTACTGTTCATAGGAAAAGAAACATAGAATATTGTTCTATTTATTTGTTAATTACTATTATAATTTCAATATTCTTTTCAGTTATTAATCAAAGTCATACTCCTTGGTAGTATCTAGTAATTTTGACAAAATCTTTCTCATGTTCAGATTCCAAATACCTAGACTAGTAAACTCAAATTAGACTTATGGCTAACCCTGATCATTCTAAGAGTGTCAAACCTGAGAAGTTCACCGGTGTTAACTACAAACGGTGGGCTAATCAGATGAGATACTGGCTCACAACCTAGGTCTTCTTTCAGCCATTGATACTCCCGATTCTTCATCCAGTGGATCTCAACCCACCAATTCTCCTGTTTATGGTCCACAACCTGAACCATCTCCTTCCACTTCTAGTTCTGGTGCTAGCTCCTTTTCTAGCTCTATGAAACCAGACGAAATCAACTATCATTGTTGTCATAGGATTCTTAGTGCACTTTCGGACAACCTCTATGATATATATTATGAGTTCAAAAGTGCTAAAGACCTATGGAATGCTCTAGAAGCAGAATATGACTATGATGATGCCGGAATTCTGCGTTTTACCTCCTCCTCCTTCAATAAGTTCATGATGATTGATGACAAACTTATTAATGAACAAATCCATGAATTCCAAGATTTCCTTCGTCACCTTCAATCTAAAGGAAACTCTTTCACTGATGACTTCAAAGTTTCCTGTTTGATTGATAAACTCCCTCCCCCCTGGTCTAGATTTGCTGGAGATCTTCGACACAAGCAAGGAGATTTAACATTAACCGAAGCCCTCAAGGCTATTCATATTGAAGACCAGCATAGGCAAAATTCCAAAACCAAGACTGAATCAAAAGCTAAAGTGAACTTGGTAGAGGATAAGACTAAATCTAGGAATTTCAAACCCAAAGGAAAGAAATTCAAGAAAAACCAGCAATCCTTCAACAAATCTTCTTCCAAATCCAATTCCAATCCCTCCAGCCATAAGTCTGATGGAAAGTTCTGCTATGACTGTGGTAGAACCAATCACCTGGCTCCCAACTGTTTCTTTCGGAAGAAGGAACCGGCCAAACCTGCTCCTAAAGGAAATGGATCCAACAAAGTTAATATGATTGAAGAGAATCCAACTTCTTTCAGGTTAGCCTCTTCATCCTATCTTGTGAATTCTCTTACTTCCTTCACTGATTGGTACTTAGACTCTGGAGCTAATATCCATGTTTGCAATGATCGCTCTTGGTTTTCTACTTACCAGGAATCACGTGGAGGAAGCATAAGCTTAGCAGATGACTCCAGTGCATAGAGCTCACCTTGACCTCTGGGAAAGCTCTAAATCTGCAAGGCGTTCATCATGTTCCTTCTCTCCGTCGCAACCTGATCAGTGAATCTCTTCTTCTTAGAGCTGGATTTAGGATTGTAAAAGAATCCAATAAATTTGTGATTACAAAGAACAATGTATTCATAGGAAAAGGTTTTACTTGTAATGGCATTTTCAATCTCAATGTAATCAATTTCAGTTCTAATAAAATTCCTGAGTCTCCTATTGCACAAATTGTTGAGTCTTGTGATGTTTGGCATGGACGACTTGGACATGTTAATTTCCAAACCCTGCAGAGAATGATTAAATTGGTCTTGTGATGTTTGGCATGGACGACTTGGACATGTTAATTTCCAAACCCTGCAGAGAATGATTAAATTAAATCTTATTCCCAAATCTTCTCATAACTCCTCATCTAAATGTGAGATTTGTGTTCAAGGAAAACACACTAAAAAACCATTCAAGTCTATAACTAGAAACTCTGAACCTCTCGAATTAATACATAGTGATGTGTGTGACTCGAACCGAGTTCTCACCCGAGGGGGTAGGAGATATTTTGTGACATTTATAGACGATCACTATAGATATTGTTACACCTATCTTCTCAGAACCAAAGATGAAGTCTTAGATAGGTTTAAAGTGTACAAAGCTGAATCTGAGAACCAACTTGACAGGAAGATCAAGATTCTTAGATCTGATCGTGGGGGGAATATACTTCAATTGATATGACTGAATATTGCTAAGAACACGGTATTATTCATGAGGTTACTGCTCCCTATACACCACAGTCTAACGGGGTAGCTGAACGAAAGAACATAACCCTAATGGACATGGTAAACTATATGTTACTCAGTTCAGGAGCACCTGAAAATCTCTGGGGTGAAGCTCTCCTTTCTACTTGCTTCATTCTCAATAGGGTTCCCCAGAAATATTCTGATATAACTCCTTATGAACATTGGAAGGGGAGATCTCCTAGTCTGCACTTCTTCCGGGTTTGGGGTTGCTTGGCTAAGGTAGCTATTCCCGAACCTAAGAAGAGGAAAATTGGTTCTAAGACTGTTTATGCTGCTTTTATTGGATATGCACTAGACAGCAATGTTAATAGATTTCTAGTCATTAACTCTAAAATTAGTGACATATCTAACAATACTATCATTGAAGCTAGAGATGCAGTTTATTTTGAAAACATCTTTCCGTTCAAATCCAAAATCTCAGAAAATCCTAGAACATCTTTTCCTTCTGGTCTACCATCATCTAGTTCTTCTCAGCCTTTTGACATTGAACCTCGAAGGAGTAAAAGAGGTAGAATTCAAAGGGATTTTGGAGAAGACTTCTTTACCTTTCTTGTTGAAGGTGATCCAAGCTCATTCCAAGAAGCAATGGATTCACCTGAATCTCCTTTCTGGAAAGAAGCCATTGATAATGAGATTAAATCCATCATGGATAACCATACTTGGAAACTCACCGACTTACCTCCAGGCTATAAACCTGTAGGTTGTAAGTGGATATTCAAGAAGAAACTTAGAACTGATGGTTCCATATATAAATTTAAAGCTAGATTAGTAGCTAAAGGCTATACTCAACAAAAGGGCATTGATTACTTTGATACCTATTCTCCTGTAGCTCGAATCTCAACTATTCGAGTATTATTAGCCTTTGCTTCTATTCATAAGCTGATCATACATCAGATGGATGTCAAGACTGCTTTCATGAATGGTGATTTAGATGAAGAGATCTATATGCACCAACCTGAAGGATTCATTGCCAAGGGCCAGGAAAACAAAGTCTGTAAACTTGTTAAATCTTTGTATGGTCTTAAACAAGCTCCTAAACAATGGCACCAGAAATTTGACAAAGTCATTGCGCAATATGGTTTTACTGTGAATGAACACGACAAGTGTGTTTACACTAAAGTGATAAACAATGACTATGTCATCCTCTGTCTCTATGTTGATGATATCCTTATCTTTGGAACCACTCTTGAATTAATTTTAAAGATTAAGGATTATCTTTCCAAGAACTTTGACATGAAAGACTTAGGTCTTGCTGATATGATACTTGGAATAAAAATCTCTAGAGACACTAGATGAATATCTTTAAGTCTTTTGTAGGCGTCAAAAAATGCTCAAATGTATCCAAACACAGTTCAAAAGGAAGTCATCCAAAATGTCAAAAAAGAACACAAGTATGGACTGTCTCGCAGGCGAGACAGACTTTACTGTCTCGCCTGGCGAGACAGACTTTTACTGTCTCGCCCACGCGAGACAGTTTTCACTGTCTCGCCCCCGCGAGACAGTATTTACTGTCTCGCCGTGCGAGACAGAATTTACTGTCTCGCACGCGAGACAGTTATCAGTGGTTCAAGAAACTGTTTTGCAACCACCGACACGTGGCCACCAACTGTTCAAGAACGTGGGGAACGTCGTGGGCGAGAATCACGTTGATAACTACCAGAATAACGGAGTTTAAAACGTGGGAAGGCAGTTACAGCGAGAAACTGTCAGGAATATTCGTTTTCTAAGACAGTATTTACTGTCTCGCTGGGCGAGACAGCAAATTTACTGTCTCGCTGGGCGAGACAGCAAACACTGTCTCGGCCAGCGAGACAGCAAACGCTGTCTCGCCCGCCGAGACAGCAAACGCTGTCTCGCGAGCACTGTTCATACAGGGGTTATAAATACCCCCGAGGTGATTTCTTTGAGGATGATCCTGCGTTTGTTTCTCAAGAGTTGTAATTTTCATTTTGTTGTGTAAAAGAAGTCTTATAAAAAGGCTATCTCTTTTTGAATTTATTGTAATCGACTGAAGATATAATGAATTCCATGACAAAACCAACTTTTGACGCAAACAAGCTGGCGACCACAGTGGGAGCCACCGGTTTCGCTGCCGAGACCGTCGTGTCGCAGCCAATCATCAAGATCCTGTTTGAATCAACGGTCGAGTACGAGTTCGACCAAGCGAAGTTTGAGGAGTATTTGTCATCCTCAAAGTCTTCCGCGCCTCGTAAATGCAGGAAGATTTCATCTTCGTTAAAGTTATCAAATGCTACGGATGAAGACTCTCGTCCGCTTGTTGCTGAGGACTTTACTCGCAACAGCTCTGCTCAAGATGATTCCTCCCCAATTAAGGAGTCGTTCGATCGAAGTTCACCACTGACGAAGAGGGCTCGTCAGAGACAGCGTCAGCGCCATGCTCGCCAAATAGCTAAGGCATTTGAACAAACCGACGGAGTTCGTTATTATGCGGACTTAGAGTCGAGGAAACAACAAGTAGTTTGTTCAACGCAACGACAAACTACTCACGTTTCTGCACAATTCACGACGGAGGAATGAACACTCGTCAAAAGGGCTCGTTCGACCCTCAAAGAACGTATACAAAAACATCGTGCAAATGCTGCTCATGTCCGAACTCTCCTACAACAAAGACGAGAAAGGAGGAAGGAAACGGTGACCAAAGAACCACCGAAACTCTGCCAAGTTTGGATTCCAAAGTCTGGACTTATGCAAAATCAGCATTCAGAGCCCATTAAGACTCCATACCCGCAAAGGGGTGGTTTTAGACGTGCGACTCCCGACATAACCTTGGATCGCTCAAAGACAAAAATAAATTGTCCTGAGAATGCCAACAAGGTTTTACACCCCCAGAAGAAGACGCATTCACCAAATGATATCGTCATACCTGGGAGGTCATGCCAACAGACAATACGATTTTTTGGCAATTATACCGATGAATCGTATTATCAAGTTGGGGTTGTGAATAATTTTCGAAAGAGAGTTATTCGAGAAATAAACTCTCGGTGTTCCTGTGCGCGACTCGTTAAAGCAGCATTATCAGAATGTGACTGTTGTATTACGGATTTATTTTTCTAGGTGCCACATATCAGATTTAATTGCTAATAAATATCTGGATGTGTTGAAAAAATTTTAATCTGTGATGAGGAGCTTGTGACTGTAGCAGTGAGAATCCCCCCATGATTTCGTATTTTCTAAGATCAATTTTTGGTATTTTTAATTATCTCATTATTAGATAGTATGAAAATGTTAATTGGTTGCGTGTTAATGTAATTTTACTCATTTTAGGAGCTAAAGTTCATATCTTTGTTATTTATTAATGCTATTTATATCACTGGAATATTTTTTGGGTTTGATATTGTAGTAATCCATGTTAGTAAAATGTAAATTGTAAATTTTAAATTATAATTTGTAATTTTTTCAGATTTTGACATAATTCGACTTAGATTCTAACGTGATAATGATTTTTTGCATCGTAGATGGATAATGATGGTGATTGTTCCGATGAACAAAGTGTTATAAATATGATTCAAGGTGCTGCCATATCCGTTCTAATTATAATAATTACTGTCATAAGAAGAATGCAAGCAAGGCGTAAATCAATTCGTAGTGGTCCAAGTAAGGAAAAAAGAAGACGAGAGAGAGCTAGAATTGAGCACATAAGTCGAATTTATAATGGTTTTAGTGATAGTTGCGTGAATTATATTAGAATGAGAAGTGGTGCTTTTGCAAAACTAGCGAGTATAATGAGGAACAATAACCTGCTAAAAGACTCAAGGAATATAACAGTGGAAGAACAACTTATAATGACTCTAAACATTATGGGTCATAAATCTAAAAATCGCATAGTTAGATCTCATTTTATAAGATCAGGGGAGACAGTGAGTAGATATTTCAACAAGGTATTACAAGCAATTATTTGCCTGCGTGGACGGTACATGAGACAAGCCCCCAATGACATTCCCCAAGAGATCATTAACAACCTGCTATACTACCCTTATTTCAAGGTATATCTACACTTTAAGCATATTTAAATGTATAATCAATGTAAGTAAATTTTAATTTAGATGTGTTATACACGTATTATAGGATTGCATTGGAATGATAGATGGGACACACATAGATGCTATGCTTCCGATTAATCTTGTTGCCCGATTTCGAGGCCGCAAAGGTGTTACACAGAATGTGCTTGCAGCTTGCACCCCAAACAAACTGTTCACATATGTTCTAGCAGGTTGGGAGGGGTCTGCAAATGATTATAGGATTCTTCAGGACGCATTGTCTAGACCACAACCACATGGATTGAGAGTCTATGATGGTAATTAATTATAGACTTAACTTAAAATTTATTATTTTTAATATTCAAACTTGACTTAACAATTTTCTTAATAAAATTGTAGGCAAATACTATCTATGTGATGCTGGGTACCCAACCATGCCAGGTTTCATCTCTCCATACCGAGGTGTTAGATATCATTTGAAAGAACATTCGGGTAAAACACCTAAGAATAGAAGAGAATTATTCAATCTAAGACATTCTTCATTGAGGTCTAAGATTGAATCTACATTTGGCACATTGAAGAATCGTTTCAAGATTTTGTGTGCTAAGCCGCATTATCCTTTTCCTATACAAGTAGATATCGTATTGGCATGCACGGTACTATTCGGGTAAAACACCTAAGAATAGAAGAGAATTATTCAATCTAAGACATTCTTCATTGAGGTCTAAGATTGAATCTACATTTGGCACATTGAAGAATCGTTTCAAGATTTTGTGTGCTAAGCCGCATTATCCTTTTCCTATACAAGTAGATATCGTATTGGCATGCACGGTACTCCATAATTTCATTGCAACTGTGGATCCAAGTGATGAATTACTCAACGATGATGAAATTAATGAAGACATTGATGGTGAAGTGGCTTTCGAGAATGACACTAATTTAGTTGATTTTACTCAAAATCAAACCCAAAGAGAGCAAACTGAATCAAGAAATGAGTGGAAGACTCTTAGGGATGACATTGCTTGGGCGATGTGGGTGGACTACTGTGATATGTATAATCATGGTGTAATCACAGAGACTTGATTTTTATTTTTGTTCTATTTATGCTCATTCACATGTACTCAATAAAGTGGGATAATGTCATGCACCGCATCAAAACTCTACGAACACGATTTCGTGATATGGAAACTTGTCGTAATCTTAGTGGTGCTGGATGGGATGATAGTACGAAGACTGTCATTATGGATCCTGAATGTTTGGATAGGTGGATTGAGGTAAATAAAGTCTGGTTAAAGAATATATTTATTTTCCATTTTAAACAATTTTTATAATTAATTAAATTATACTGTTTCAGGACAAGAGCTTTAAGAATGCGAAGCTTAGACAATATGTCAATAAACCATTAAGGCATTATGATGATCTTGCCCTTATCATCGGTGATGATCAAGCCACAGGTCAATTTGCTAATGATGCTTGGAAAAAGTTTAGTCGTAGTGAGACCATAAATCTTGGAGATGAGGCGAACTCACCAATGCATTCTCCCCAATCTACTCAAGTACACATTGTAGATGACGAGGACACTCCTCCACCTAAGGAAGCATCCAAAATATCAAGTTCTAAAGCTAAGTCATCCTCCGCCAAGGTAAAGGCTCGTAAGACCAACCTAGATAGTGAGATCATGCTAAAGATGGTGGATAAGATAGATGTATTTAGCACAAACATGAAGTGTGTGAATATGCATTGGACCGAGAAGTTATCCACGGTCCTATATGCTCATTCACATGACTTTACTAATGCTAAGTTAGATACATACTATCGTCACCTCTTTATGAATGAGCATGAATCTAGACTATTTATGGGCATATCTTCGGATGGTCAAAAGGAGATGATAGAGGCATTTCTCAACAAAGAGGATTGAAGACATTTAGATCTGGGTGTGTTTGTTAGTTTATGATTCTCACTTAAGCACTTTTGTTGTTTGAAAACTTTTTTAATTATGGTTGAAGACTTTTGTCTGTTTGTGTTCATAGACAATACTTTTTTAAAATGATGTTTAGTTTTGTGGTTGTCGAATCGTATGACAATGACTAATATTATATTTATATTTTATTAAGTAGTTATTTGCTTTCATTTTTTAATATTATCTTTCATACTGTGAATATTGTGGTGTACTAACCTTTAAATTAAACTTGTGACTGCAGGATATTAATAAGTCACTATACATTTTTTTAAGATGCAAGCAACCTACAATGTGCTGGCATTGTACTGGATGGCTATGAAATAGGGTATTTTGTGTAGTAAGTTTTCATGACACGTGTTTACGTTGGTGACTTTTTTACATATAGGCTATGATTATTGTCATAATATCTGAGATTTGCAACCTGCAATATCTATTGATATTGTACTGGATGGCTAACAATGATGATTTTGACCATATTATGAGCCCTCAGCCCTCAGCCCTATTCATTTTGGTTTGCATCAATTTAGGCTATGATGATTGTCAGATTTTCTGAGATTAGCAACCTGCAATATCTATTGATATTGTACTGGATGGCTAACAATGATGATTTTGACCAAATTCTGAGCCTTCATCCATAATTAGTTAAACAATGATGCCTATTGGTGGTGTTGATGCCTGTTAGTGTTGTTGGTGGTATTCATGCCTGTTGGTTTTTTTCTGCTGGCTGTTGGAATTTTTCTGCTGGATTGTTGTTGCCTACTCAGTTCATACAAAATTGGGGTTGTTGTTGACTGGTGTTGATGTCTGGTGTTGATGCCTGTTGGTGTTGGTGGTTTATTTGATGCCTGTTGGTTTATTTGCTGCCTGTTGGTATTCATGTGATGCTGGTTTTTTCTGCTGGCTGTTGGAATTTTTCTGCTGGATTGTTGTTGCCTACTCAGTTCATACAAAATTGGGGTTGTTGTTGACTGGTGTTGATGTCTGGTGTTGATGCCTGTTGGTGTTGGTGGTTTATTTGATGCCTGTTGGTTTATTTGCTGCCTGTTGGTTTTTTTACTGCTGGGTTGTTGTTGCCTACTTGCCTGATGCACGGTTTTTGGCTGCATTCTTGAGTTTTGCTGATGCACGGTTGATGCCTGTTAGTTTTGCCTGATGCACGGTTTTACTGCTGGGTTGTTGTTGCCTACTTGCCTGGTGTTGAGGTCTGGTGTTGATGCCTGTTGGTGTTGGTGGTTTATTTGATGCCTGTTGGTTTTGCTGATGCATGTTGGTTTTTTTACTGTTGGGTTGTTGTTACATATGATGTTATTTCACTTGCTTATAATAACACATTGGAGACTTAGTTTGATTGGCTGGATGTGAGCCTGTTTACCATGCCTTTTTCTCTAACTGTTGTTTTTTGTTTATCATGTTTGTGAGCCTGGTTGTGAGGATTTCACCAATCTCTTCATGATGTTATTTTTGTTACATATGATGTTATTTCACTTGCTTATAATAACACATTGGAGATGATGCTTGATTGGCTGGATGTGAGCCTGTTTACCAAGGTGTTTTCTCTAACTGTTGTTTTTTGTGGAACCTGTTTGTGAGCCTGGTTGTGAGGATTTCACCAATCTCTTCATGATGTTATTTTTGTTACATATGATGTTATTTAACTTGCTTATAATAACACGTGGGAAATGTATTTACTTTAGGCTATGATGATTGTCAGAATTTCTGAGATTAGCAACCTGCAATATAACTTGATATTGCACTGGATGGCTAACAATGATGATATTGACTAGATTCTGAGCCCATTTAACTAATTTTCTAAGTGAGTTTAGCAACTAGGAAATTTTATACGTTTCCTATTCATTGTTGGTGCGAGATGGTGTTTCCTGGTTCATTTTGTGTGACTGTTTGGTGTATAATCTATTTACATTTTTTCTTAGGTGGTTTAAGTTTTCCTGGTTGGTGTATCATTTTCATTGTTGGGTTTTTGGTTGCTTTTTGTGCTTGTTTGGAGGATGCTGGTGGGTGTATCTTGTGAACCTGTTGTGGTTTGGTTTGCTGATTGTGAGTTTGGTTTTATATTGCTGGTTGTGAGCTTGGTTGTGGAGCCTGGTTGTGAGCCTGTTCAGATTTTTTGGATACTGGTTGTTTGGAGGATGCATTTCTCTGTTTTGTATAGGTATGGAGATCCCTTTTGCTTTCCTTTCTTGGATTTCTTCCTTATTAAAATTATGAAATTCATGACAACTTTAAAGAAGCAGTCCTTTCATGCACAAGTTAGTTCCTTCGTTCAGATTTCAGGTACCAAAGCAGAACCTCTCTTCCCCTTTTAATTTTGATTCATTTTCATGAGGTAATTATTAATATGTCATCATATATTTTTTTGCGCATTAAATCAGGTGAACTTTAAATCCTTTTACCACTTTCAAGTAACAAATAATATTACTCAAGCAAAGTTGCATGGATGAATTTGAACAAGGGTGTGCTGGTAACATCTCCTTTAGCATGTCTGTAACATTTTATACACATGAATATTTTACATTAAAATTTAACTTTCTGATACATATATTACCTTTACCTGTCTGGATGGTTATATACATTGTGTACTCAACCAACTTTCTTAATAACTTCATTGCTTCTTGACTACCATAGTGGTATCATTTTTTAGAAAATCCATCCCCGCAGGTTCACTATTGCACTGAACTTTTGACATATGGAATGACTTGTAATTGTAATCCAATTATGGTTTTTTTTTCTCTCAGCTTATTTGTTGCCTGATGGTGTTGGTGTTGATGCCCGTTGGTATTGTTGGCTGATGGTGTTGGTGGTCTTGATGCGTGTTGCCTGATGGTGTTGGTGTTGATGCCCGTTGGTGGTTTTGGTGTTGATACCTGTTCGTGGTCTTGATGTTGTTGCCTCATGCCTGTTGGTGGTCTTGATGCATGTTGCCTGATGGTGTTGATGTTGATGCTTGTTGGTGGTCTTGTTGTTGTTGCCTCATGCCTGTTAAAGGTCTTCATGCATGTTGCCTGATGGTGTTGATGCATTTTTGTGGTGTTGGCTGGGCACGTTGTTGCCTGTTGGTGGTATGCTGGGTACTTTGGTTGTGAGCCTGCTTGTTGGCTGGTGGAGTTGTTGGCTGTGGTGTTGTTGGCTGATGTTGATGCCAGTATATTGATATTGTTTACTGGTGCTCAAATTAGGCTATGATGATTTCTAAGTTATCTGAGATTAGCAACCTGCAATATCTCTTGATATTGTACTGGATGGCTAACAATATGATAATATTGACCAAAATTCTGAGCCTTCAGCCATAATAATTTTGGCAGCTATGTTCGAATTTGTGACCATTACAATCTAGTTGTGTTCAGTTTGGTGTGCATATGTTGTTTCTCTTGGTTTTTTTATGCTCGGTGTTGTATCAGTAGTCTGTAGCTAATTTTGAAACTTTGTATGCAGATAAAATCATGGTTTTGTTGTGGAATAATTTTTTCTGCTGGGTTGTGTTGTGGAATAATTTTCAATCATGGTTTTGTGCGATTTGTTGGTTATATACTTATGCTTGGCTATTTAGGTTGTTTATATGTTTTTATAGGTTTCAACAGTTTTTTTTGGATAATTCATACAACTTAACTACATAAATTTATGAATAATCAGGTTACTACATGTCAAATTATAATTTTTTTGAGATATTATTATTTGTTCATGTTACAGTCGAACTTTTATATAATTAAGATTACATCACATAACGAGCACAAATGTTGTATAATATAGTGGGGGTAATCTTACCATGGTGACCATAAACACTTTTCACTACAAACATCAAAACCAACCAAACACAAGAAAAGTGGGAAATGTATTATCAACAAAAGTTTTCCTTTTTTTTTCCATGCGAACCAAACACAAGAAAAATAAATACATTGGTTTCCCATCATTTTTTTGTGCGAACCAAAGCAAAACAATCCATTTCTTGGAAAAGTTTGGAAAACTCAAAACTTGTGTTTTTGTATATGGAAATGCATTTCCCTATATCTAGGAAACGAACCAAACAGCCCCATAGCAAAAACGACCTTATCAGAAAATAATCTGTAAAACCGACCATTTTCTTAAAAAGGGTCTGTTTTGCAGTCGTGAAGTTTTTCGAGCTACACGGGACTGCTAGTCCCATGTAGTAGTTTGGCCAGCAATTGAAATACATGGGACTAGTAGTCCTGTGCTTCTTCTTCTACAATTGATCCCGAGAGAAGAATGAAACGCACGGGACTATTAGTCCCGTGCATTTCAATTGATGGCCGAACTACATGGGACTAGTAGTCCCATATAGCTCGAAAAACTTCGCGACTGCAAAGAGTCGGTTTTACAGATTATTTTCTCATGAGGTTGTTTTTGCTATATAAAATTAAAAAAATGGTCCTTTTAAAAATTTATCCTAGTTTTAACCTGAGTTCATTAATATAATTTATTAACATTAGATATTAGTTTTAAAATAAATGAACGCATTAATTTCTTACCGTGAGTTCGAACCTCATTTATCATCTTCCATATTTCCACGTCGCCTCTCTGCATGGCCAAGAGTCATCGTCCTTGAGGTAACAAACACTACACTTTTGCCAAGAGACGGAAAGTTAAATAATGAAAAAGAAAGGTAGGGAATGGAAGTGAAAAGATAAAAATGTTATTTGAGAGTTTAGTAAGAAAAACAAAAGTAAATTTGTAATTTTACTTTGTTTGGGAGTTCTAATAAAGAGGAGGGAAGTGAATGAATATGTATAAAGTTACATAAATACCCTTACATATTAGATGAGAGTATATCTTAGCCATTGATTTTAATGTCATAAGGGTATAATTGTCTTATCACATTGTGAAACTTTACATTGGTTTCCATTCCATTCTCTATCCCCAAATTGGAGGGGAGGAAAATGGAAAAAAAATTAACCTTCCATTCCATCCTCTAACCCTTAAAAAAA